ACTGTCCAGACGCCTGGACTGTTTTCATGAGCGATCCAAAACGCTCGTCCCTATCCCGGGGCAGGTTGCCCCCAGGAGAAAATCTCGGTGCTTCTGTGGGTCTGGACGTTGCGCAGGGCGGGGCTAGTTAGGAACAGATTTAAGCCAAAGCGGGCCCGTGGCCTTGCGCTGGTTTCATGGAATCAGTTGCTTTTAAACCCCTTTGCAGCAGCTTCGGGCACTTTTGAAGAGACGAGTCCTGTTAGGGGCCAGAGCCCCTAAGGCCAGAGCCGGATTCCCCAGGACACCCCGTGCGGAGCGGCTGTACTGCCGGGGAGATGGGACTGTCGTTAAATGAACCCTTGATTAAGTGATGGAGGTTTGGGATCTGTAGGGAGGAATCGTGTTTTAAAATCGAATTGGGCTCCACCGAGAGGGTTAATTGTGGAGACAATGTAAAAAAAATAAATAGAGGTGTTTCATTTGTATTCCATGCGGTTGGGTGGGTTTTTTTTCTTCCTGTGGAAAAAAAAGGGAGGTCCCCTTAAATATACCAAACTCTGCCCCCTGTTGGTTTTGTTTAGCATACCGCTTTGCTCAGCGGCCCCAGATTACGATTTATCTCCACAGATTCAAGGTATGAAGCCTCAAATGAATTCAGGCCCCTAGGAAAAGACAGATCAACACCACCTGTTGTGGAGGCAGGGTGCAAAGTACCCCCCCAGTAGGCCATGATGGGCTATCTGACTCCGGGGGCAATGCCACCCTGACCCCGGTCTGCAAAACCAATTTATGCCTTGAATCTATAACACAAATTTGTGTTTTTAGCCTCTCTAATGAACCCAGCTCCACACAAATATAATTTTTTGCATTCTGATAAAATCTTGGGCCCCATATCATGTGGCGGTGGGTTCCGCAGGTCAAAGGTGCAGTACAAACAAATATTGCCTTGAGGTGGATTTATGTGTTGGGCTGGGAGGCAGAGTGGCCTAGTGGATAGACTGTTTTGTGAGCGTGCAGGCTTCCCTTACCCAGCTTTGCCACTGGTCTCCTGGGAGGCCTTGGGCAAGTCACCTTCACTGCTCTGTACCGCAGTTTCCCCAGTCTCTAAAATAGGTATAATGCTACTGACTTCCTTTGGAAAGTGCTTTGAGACCTGCTGCTGAAGAGCTAGGAGTTGTCATACTGTGACACGGAGAAACCACACACCCCAGCCGCCTTTCTCCTACTCATTCACTCTCGGGGGGTATTGCGATGGTACAATGCTCTAGCCTAGGGGTTTTCAAAGGACGGGGCGTGACCCAGCACTGGGTGGTGGCATGTTGGACACCAGGACTCTTTGCGGCATGTGGATCAGGTGACCAGCAGGGGGCGCTAAGGCAGCTCCCTGCCTGTGCTACCAGGGCGCTGCGCCCCAGAAGTGGCCAGCACCAGCATCAGCTTCTGGGGGAGAGGGCTCCCTCCCCTGCCCCAAGCACTAGCTCCGCACTCCCGTTGGCTGGGAACCTGCTGCTGGGCACAGT